GGGTGTACACTCCCCTCACATGGGGGTGGGACCCGCTTGACTAAAAAAAAAATTAGTCAAGCGGGTCCCACCCCCATGTGAGGGGGGTGTAGCCCTTTAGGTACACCCCTAGGTACCACTGCCAAAACCCTAAAAAGAAAATGGAAAATTACAACTTAATAGTACATTCTAATGTTTCTGCAGAAGACATATGGCTGATTGGATATTCTTTGATTAATTCAGTATTCTGTATCAGTTCTTATATACATAAGGTCATATAACTTGAATTTCTTTAGAATTCATAGATATCAGTTCTTAAATGACCATTAGTGTAATAATTGAGGTAGTTAAAATAGATTTACCTTGCTAAAATTTATCTCATCTTTTTTCCTTCTTGTTTGCACAATGATAATTTATCATTTTCAAGAAAGTTGAAGATCTGTCTAAATATTAATTCTGAGACAATTATTTCATGAAGCGTCTGAAATTAACGTTAGACATCTAGTTGGTGGTTATACCTTCGTGGCAGATTTCTCTTGAAAGTAGAGAACGTATAGTCCCTATATTCATTTATACAGAACTATACGTTTATATTGATGGGGTGATCTTTACTGTTGCAGCTATTCCTTCCCTTCGTGACCGAGACTGCTCAAAGGATGAGAAAGAAGCTCTCAATTATCTCTTTCTCCTTATTCCATTGATAAATGTCATAATCCCATTTTTCTGGAAATTATTTGCTGTCGTTCGGTCAGCAGATACTGTAGCCTTTTTCAGAATGTATGCTTGGAAGGTATTCAGTTCATCAGCACTTCACGTCTTGTCTTGGTACAGCTTGGGTGGCTACAACAGAGAGAATAGTATATGTATTGAGCACGAGGAGTGGGTTTCTTCCTTCTTGATCCGCTTGCAGCCGTAATTCTCAAATATCATCGCTTATGGTTGATGCAATGTCATACTTTTGAGCCCATGTTGCAATCAAGCAACTTCTCTGAGATGGGTTGGTTAGCATTTTAGGCAAAGATGGATTAAATTTCCCAAATGACAGCGTACTGGGCACCATTTTCAATATATTATGTTCCCCTTGGTGCCCATTTTTTAGCGGTAGAAAATGAATTTTATGATCGTTGAAGCACCAACTTCAAGAATAATGTGAGATGGAAGTCAACAGTTCCGACAAAGTGGGGCCCTGCAACGGTAGTATTTTTCCTAAAAATGGAGAGAAATTGGGAAACAAACAGGAGCTACAAATTGTTGCATTGTTGTAAAGAATAGGCCTACAAATTTTTGCGCTGTCAATAAAAAAATATAGATAATTAATCCATAAGTCGTGCCAAAATTCTTAGAGTTTAAATGAAACTAATCTGTTTGTATTCGTTTAAGTTTGTAATTTGCTTGGATGTATGGGACAATGCTAAAAAAGATATAGATCAATCTGAATCAAGTTCTGAATTAGAGATACAGAGGAAGATTTATTACAAAAACGTTAAAGCGAATGGCTTAGTTCTGGTTCCAGAAATGTAGAGATGGCAATTGTCGAACGAGCTTTGTGTCTTTTGTATGAGGACGGATTTGATAGAGCTGATCATGATGGTGACATTCGATCCACTATGATTCTACGTTGTGATGCTCAGAATTGGCATTCCGATCGGCATACCCATGTCGACACGACATGTATGGGGCACATCCTTCAATTTTCAAGTGAGTATCGCAATTGTAATTAATTATTTCATTTCTAACTTTTATTTTAATGTTGTGCTTTTGTCATGTAAATTTATGCTATTTTTGGTGTTTTAGACTTTTAGTATAGATGTTTAGTTGGTTTTAAGTGACATGTTCCATCTTTTAATAATTCGTCACCTAATTATTATTTAACTTTTTACATGTAAATTTTTGAGAAATTCAAAATTGAAGTGTAAAAGACGTTTCCAATTATCCGTGTCCAAAATTTGTATTTTTTTTTTTAGTCATGTGGAGGTATTCTATATTTTAGAAAATCAAATATTCGAAACTTAGATACGTACCAGTACCCCGATTCCGAGCATCATAGATTCTATGTAGAATCAATGCAAAGACAAGATAAATCCCTTATAGGAAATGTGATTGACGAAGTCACAGGTAAGCCTGGGATTTATCGTTTTTGTTATTATTGCTTTTACATTTTCTCTAGCAACTGTGATTGTGCTATACTAATAACCCTCTCTTTCTCTTTTTTCGGCTTAAAAAAACTCTATTCATTCCAGGATTATATTACATCTTTTTTACGTTTCAAGAAGTTTCTGCCATTGTATAAGCATT